CAGCCGACGAGGGATGAGTGATGACGTTATTCTAATGAGCCGACACACAGACATTTGTCTTTCCCTCCCATTTAACAGACAGGCTCAAAACAGACGGCAGAGACGAGACGCAGTGAGCATGCCACTTCTCTTCTGACTCAGCCGAGAAAGGCCTTACTAAGAGAACAACAATGTTGAGTAATAATGTTTCAGAAACAGAAAAGCATGGAGCTGCACAAAGCTGGAAATATCGGTTGCAGGACTATGAGCGGCAGAACAGTGCGGTTCAGGCCAGTCATCAGTACCCGCAGCTGATCAAGAGGTCACTGACGTCACTCCACACATAAAGACGTCATTCCTCCACACAGTGACGTCACGCCACGTAGTCGTGATGCAGCGCTGCCACTCACTGTACAGTCTGTCTTAAAAGTACCGCGCAAAGTGGCGGTGGATCCATCAAGCCTGACCGAGAAAGGTCTGCTTTAATTTGAAAGTCACCGAACCAATTGAGCTGGGGAATGGACGAGGATGTCCATTGCTTCGGTGACCCAGATTTAGCAGGCCCTTCCTCAGTCAGGCTCGATGGATCCACCGCCACTTTGCGCGGTACTTTTAAGACAGACTGTACAACCACTAACGACACGTTCCAACCAATGCTTGTCTGTCAAATAGTGAGCAGGACATTTCGATGAGAGCTGAGGAAGTTTGCAGAAATTGACGTACCCCAGTGCGCAAAAATATGCGTTTTCTAGGTGATGGCACTCTTATAATGACGCGCAAGCCAGAACAGAATGATAATGTAGGCATTTAGGTAAGCACTGAAACCAATTTGAAAGTAAACAATGGATAAATACCAGTCAATAACAGCATATCTGACGGATATGCTATGCAACAATGAGACATATAACTATTCAAAATATAGGCTTTGTATCCAAACTGACTAACGACTGCGTCAAGTGAATGTTATGTGCCCAAAGCGGTAATTTCACCGGCTCTAAGAGCCATTACGACCCCAAAAGCGGTCTGCTAATGCCCTTCAGCGAGAAAATCCCCAGGAATACATCTGGCTGAGACTTGCCAGTCCATTAACCCTGAAGTGTCAGGCTCTCGCTTAAATATCCGGTGTATGATGTGGGACACGCGACTGGCGCGGGGAGTTTGACCTGCGGCACTGACAGTGACACGGGGTGCGGTTGACGCGTGTTGACAGCGACAGTTCAGTCCCTGGGGCGTCATCACGGGGCGCACCGAGGCGTCACCACGGAATGGGGGATGGCGTCATCAGGATTCAGGAACGTGGGAAGGCGTCATCACGGAGCGCAACGAAGCGTCAGAAGGCCAAGTTAAGTTGCAACCAATTTCAGCTGACACCCGTTCTGCCACCCCCCCCCCCCCTCCTGCCCGCCCCCTCCCCTATCGCGTGTGCGCGACGGGAGGAAATGCGACCCCTGCACCTTCACTGAAAGGCTGATCGTTACTCACCGTTCCAGGAAGACGGTATTACTCAATACCGATGTGCCTTTTTAGATAAATGGATTACGACACGTAATGTTTTTTGAAGCTTCCATGGCGGTAAATCTGATACCTGACGTGTCAATTATTCAGGAAATGTGATACCCATTAACCAAATAACTACGTAACCACTCATTGGTATTGACTGTGAGTATTACAGAGTATTTCCACTTTTAGCAAACTCAATAGGTAAATAACAGCCCGCAATATATAGCATCTTATGACAATCTCCATCCTGAGTATATGACCGACAGAGCCCTCAGCCCGCCGGCAGTCTACTCCGAGAAACACCGATTGCATACAACAATCCAGCACATTATTGCATTTGCCCGTAGCCACTATTGATTCTGCGCTAAACAAAGGAAAACGACTTATTCCCTGGACGGCGCCGGGACGGAGCCAGCATACGGCCAGATACGTGTATGGAATACGGGCCGGGAGAATTTCTGCGCCGGAAGGCAGCCTGGTGACGGAGTCTGCCAAGAACAATGAAAATCACAGCGGCGCATTCACTGTCGGCTGAACGAGCTGGATGCTCAATCACCTCCGCAGAGGCTCTATTAGGCCTCCAGCAGCTGTATGAGCCTGTATGAGCAGAAGTCACGCACACCGAACAAAGTAAAGGTCATTTGTTGGAAAGTCGTGGGCGAGGGCGTTTACTGCTTGAGTTAGCTAAAAGGAGTGGTGGGGGCACTTTGTGGCCTGGATACCGCTTTTAGTGGCTTTGTGACGGTTGTTTTCACCGCACTCATGATAATGTGACCAGACTTGTGCCAAGGTCCCAAAAAGATCCGAGATCCAGGGTTCGCAGAGTCCAAGGTCTGGGACCTTGATGGATCCTGGACCTTGCATTGTCATTTTTGTCGCGAGACCTTGGAAACCCAGGACCTTAAAACATCCATATGCCGCGAGACCTTGGAATCCCAGGACCTTAAAACATCCATATGCCGCGAGACCTTAGAATCCCAGGACCTCAACATTTGCACATGTCGCGAGACCTTGGAATCCCAGGACATCAACATTTCATGTGACATGAGACCTTAGAAACCCAGGACCTCAACATTTCATATGCCGTAAAACCATGGAAACCCAGGGGTTAGGACCTTAAAATTTTGGTATGCTGCAAGACCCTGCAGAATGCAGACCTTCAGTACCAGTTTTATTATTTGTAATGGGATCTTAGGAGAACGGTCTGGACCTACACCACCATTTTGTTGAGGGACCTCAAGAATCCTGGAAGCTGGACCATGAGGTTTATGTTGCACATGGGCCACTAAGGACCCTGCACTAGGTTTTGTCTGTAAGCACTTCAAGTCTTCAATAAATATCTATGGTTGAGCGACCAGCTGCAAGGGGCTAGATAGCTACACAAAGAGAAAACGAACCAGACTGTGTAGACATATATAGAGCAAAATCATTGCCATGGTTGTGAGGCAGAACTGGAACAAGAGACCTGGTAGCTTTTTACATTATCAATGTTGTGGATTATGAAACTGTCAAACAGTGGACAGTGGTGGTTTGGAAAGTTCTTTTCTAATCTCACCTCACATATTTTCTGGGTTGTGATATGCCGGGCTTGAAGCTACTTGGAAGCTACCCTAAGTGCCAAACTTATTTGTTTTGCAATTCATCAAATCACCATTGAGCAATGAGCAATATAAGCAATCATTCCATGACAGTTCAACTTTTTCGTTTAGCAGGTTTTCGTCGGACAATTTTTCGTCTGCAGATTTTCGTCCGCAGACTTTCGTCTATGCATTTGTTCGTCTGTGCATTTTCAAGTCCGCGCATTATTTTCATAAGGACATTTTCCGCCTCGTCCAGACGAAAAAATGCCGGACAGAAAAATACTCAGACGAAAAATGCACCAATTTAATTCGAACAGACAAAAAAATGCGAGACGAAAAAGTCAGACGAAAATCTGCCGACGAATAACCGGCTGACGATTGTCAGATGGAATTTTGTTCAGAGCCTTCAATCTAATGTGAATGAACAGTAAGTAAGGTTTGCGCTCGCTGATACTCTAATTCTATTGGCTTAGTCCATCAGTTTTTCTGTGAGCGCTCGCGCAAACAAGACTTAAAACATATTTTACTTTTTATCCTAGGTATTATGTAACTGAATGTGCAGAAAATCGAAAGCATATACCTATCCAATTCAACTTTTCCATTTCTATGAAGCCTGTAGGTTTTATTTCTGTTTTTTTTTATATTGCCTGAAAGAATACTTGAATGTCTGTCTTCAATAACTGTAAGGTGCTATCCTACATTCCTACTGATAAGGTAAGATTGAATTGAAAGGGACATGACAATACAAATTGCAAGGTACCTATTACCTACCTATATTTTTTACGAATTTGTCAGGTTAAAGAAGGAGAGATTGATATTATGATTCATTTTTAACTTGTGCTGAAGCTCCCCCTACCTATGTTGGTTAACGATAAAACCACCACAGTCCACAGGTTTGCATAGGTTCTGCCCCTTTAAATGTTGCTGGGCATCCATTGGCAGAATATTTAGAAGTAAGTCTGCTCATCAGAATGTAAGTTTGTTTAAGTTCTTGTTGTGGGACCCTGAATACTTTGGATCCTGAGATGTATTCTTGCCGTGGGACCTTGAGGACTGTGGACCCTGAACTCTGAAGTGTGTACTTGTCATGGGACCTTGGGGACTGTGGATCCTGAAATTCACACTTGTCGTGGGACCCTAGGGACTGTGGATCCTGCAATGCATTCTTGTCGTGGGACCTTGGGGACTGTTGATCCTGCAATGCATTCTTGTTGTGGGACCTTGGGGACTGTGGACCCTGCAAAGTATACTTGCTATGGGACCTTGGAAACCTTGGATTCTAGAAATTGAATTTGTCGTGGGACCTTGGAAACCTTGGATTCTAGAAATTGAATTTGCCGTGGGACCTTGGAAACCTTGATTCTAGAAATTGAAATTGCCGTGGGACCTTGGAAACCTTGGATTCTAGAAATTGAATTTGCCGTTGGACCTTAGAAACCTTGGATTCTAAAAATTGAATTTGCCGTGGGACCTTGAGGATCCTGGATCTTGATTTTTGGTCCCGGCACAAGTCTGAATGTGACGAGGAGTCATATCGGTGTTACGTTCTGAACGGCAATGGACAGCGATATATGTGTCGCCACTCACGGAGTTTATATCGCTGCGCAGTACCTACCCGACACATGCGAACAACGCAGATATTGTTCCGCAGCTTAGATGGAGGGTTGGGTTATCTGTATCAGCAATTTAAACGACGATTGCCATTAACCCCGCTCCTACCAGCTAATCAGATAAGAACAAAAAGAACAAACTTTGTTAGGTAGTTTTCGATGCACATTACGATAACCATGCACATTGCACAGCATCCAAATAGAAATAGATCCAGCACAGCCATCAGCCCAAGCAGAAGACATTCATGCAAAGACAGCCCTCTTCAGCGAGAGAAAGAGCCGTCACAAATGACGTCACCAGTGCTGACGGGTTAGCGTATGAACAAATTACCTTCACACTTAATGCCCTGGTGAATGATTCCGTATAGAAGAGATCCACAGTGGTCGCAAAACGTTGGACTACTATAGGTGTGCACCTTGAATTTGTGCTTTGTTCGCTTGTCCTGAAAACAGTACAATGGCCGTAAATCGTGTCGCATTGTAAAGCTGTCTGAGTTTATATCAAGACTAGACTGGAAGCAATATCCTTATTGTCTCATTTTGGCAGTAAGATATGTGCCTTGTGAAATATATCACATTTTCAACATAAGGCTTCCTCAGCCCAAGCACGCGAGTAAAAGTCATGCTCCTACTTTGTGTAGGTACATTATGCATAATTTGATGTTCGTTTAATCTTTCCATTACATTTCTAATAAATTGACAATCCGCTCCAAATTTTCTTCCATTGCACAATCAATATGTATTGCAAAGGAACGTTTTTCCTTGCAAAAGAATCGTACGACTTATCTTCAAAATATGTGTTACCATAAAAATTGAAATTTAGCTGTTAATCTGTCTCAAATCCAAATTCCATTTCAGCTAGACTGCCCTACCAAGGATATCCGTCACTGAGAGGTGTCAAAGACCACTTGCACCTAGTGCCAGAGCAACTGGTCCATAGCTACCGCCGACCGATCCCAGAATAGACACTGAAGATCGAACACAGTTACTGGTTTTTCAAGTTCAACCATGCCTAGCATCAGATGGTTGATATAAACAGAACTGGCACTGGTGGGGGACAGTCATCAAAATATTTAGAGCCCAATATAAACATTACACATGTGCAACGATGGTCAGAAGCGCATATTTCAATAAATGATACATAGTCCCTCCCGTAGGACGAATGGAATGCAATATATTGGTCTTAAGTGATGTGGAAAAAATAAATACACTGAGAAAGGGGTTTAATGTGTTTAAATCGAATGCTAGCCTGTTGACAAAATATGAAACTTGTAGCTAAATATAAATAAAATGCGAGTTAAGATAACTTAATTAAGTTGTTTTTTATGTAAAGCCTTGATTTGATAATTTATGTCGTCCAATGAGCGTGTGACCGTGCGGGTAGCTGTAGTGACAATCCAATGTATGGGAGCCCCATCGACTTACGTCCGAGTCGGCGCCCTTGTCGGCGCCGGGACACTTGAATGTGACGAACTCGTGGCAGCGCTTGTGGACGACATAGCTGCAGACTGAAACAGACAGGGCACATGTAAATGACGAGTAACGACATAGCTGCAAACCGAGACCGACAAACCGACCGCGAGCGATCTAACGACATTGTCTGCAAAACATAATAAACGGAAACACACAAAAGTGTCACAAACGATGTGACAAAATCAATGCAGTACTGAACAATGAAACGTTGTGCAATTCTGCACATAGTACTACTTCGAAGTGGACAATTCGTTTCGTGTTGGAACTGTCATTGTTCTGCTAACGGCGCATGGTATTTCCAAAGTAATGACAAGGCATTACAAGGAAATGTTAAATCATTGAGATGTTTTCCATTTAAACATACCTACTTTAAACGTGACCAGACGTTAATTAGAATATCACTTCTTTCTAAACGGATCCGAAGTACTCACACCGCCCCTTTTAGTTCAGGTATGAATGTATGAACACATAACATAGTAAGCGAAAATAATATACCTATTGTATTATAATCTAGGCGGATGCAAGCTTGTGAATGGTGCAGTACTTACTTTGGCACTGGAATCCCTGCTTTCCGAAGCCCCTGCAAAATAAAACAGGCCTCAGTTAGCTGGTCTGCTTACGATTAAAACAAGCAGACACACGCACGAAAACACACGTCAACGAATTTAAATGGGTGCACGCTATTCAACAAACCTGAATGATTCGTCGATACTACCAACCATTTCATACCACACAAGTGCACCTATGTCAGTAATCAATACGGTTCCAACACATAGCGTGGGTGCCGAGCCCCTCAATAACCATTTCCATTAAGGGTCACGCGTCGGGCAAGCGTCACGACCACACATGACATCGCGTCATCACGTCATCGCGTGCGCCCGATCGGCTCATGGTGTCGCCCCAAACGGGGCGCCGATCGTCCAATAGCACCTCTGCCGGATCACGTGGCCAGTACCTACTCTACCACTTCCGGTAGCTCGCCTTGGGGTATTTAATAGATCACATTGCCGCGGGCGTAATTCTTTTTTCCACCCAAAGGAAGGCGCTATACGGAGAATATCCCATTGCGTCATTGAAAAGTGACTTACACCTCTCACCGGCCAGCTGGCTGCGTGGTGTAGTGGTGAGCACACTCGCCTCGTGATCTAATAACTAGGGTTCGATCCCCGCCGCCACTGGCGGTCGCAGCCGCTAGCAAAAGGGGGGGGGCCAAAGTCACACTCGCGGGACATAACATTTATCCGTCACCGGCATAGGCGGTGGAACGGGGAGGGCACCGGGGCACCGTGCCCCCCTTTGATTTTGGCATTTTAACATTAGCCCTATGGGCGTTGCATGGAAAGAATGGGACCAAAAGTCGGCAGTGCCCCCCCCCCTTAATTGAAGGTGTTCCGCCGCTACTGGTCACCGGGAGGGGGGGGGGGTGATCGGCTAATTTTTTACGTCCACGAGGCGCCGCACAGTTGGCATTACTTATGCTTCATCCATCTCATTCTTGCGTGAAATCATTGAGCTCAATTTAAGGCAAAATCACCAGTTCCATTTACCGTCTCACGGTGTGCCCACCGGTCGGGCCGCTGCACCATGACGACGGATCGGTGTAGCATAGGTATACTGGAAGGTCAGGCACGCGGATTCATGACCTTACCACTATAAAACAATTCGGAAAAGTACAGATAGGTAGGTACCTCTTGCTAAAAAGTACAGATACCTCTTGCTTTGAAAAAGCATGTGAAACCCAGAGAGCATTTTTAGACTATGACATTTACCCATATAGGTACCTAGTTGTGTGGCGGCGGGAGAGAGTAGGTACTGGTACACCGACCTCTGGAGACCCCCACAGGTTCCGAGCTTTCAGAATTGGCATCTGAGGGCCACGCGCGACTCCTGCGGGGCTTCGCAGCGGCTCTGTTGGGGCTCACTCAACCTGCGTAGTCCTACTGCTAAAAAGACTGGCCCTGAGCCCTAAGGACTTCATCAGTCTCTGCCAGCCCCAGGACCCACACCGGCTCATGGGGTCCCGACGTCGAAATATGAGGGAATCAGCGCGGGACCATCAGGACGTAAAGCAATCTCGATCAGGACCAACGTAAGGCTGTGCCGGGGACTGCGTGAGCCCTCTGATCTTCAGAAACCCACCATGTATGTTTTCATGTAGAGGCCAGTTTAGGGCCCTCAGAGACCAGTACAGGGCCTGCAAACTACAAAGGCCAGTAGTTTGAGACCATCAGAGACCAAGTTGGGCTCTCAGAGGCTAATGTGGGTCCTTACTCATTACAGGCCAACATGGGCCCTCAGAGGTCAGCGTGGGGCCCTAAAAGACCGGCATGAGCCGTCGTTTGACCCCAGAGGCCAGCAGAGGGCCCTCAAAGGCCAAGATGGGCCCTCCTCAGAGGCCAATGCAGACCCTTAGAGGCCGGCATCGGGTCTTCAGCAGCCAGTGCGGGGCCCTTATTGGCACCTAAAGGTTCATCTTGGGACACCAGAGACAGAAATAAGGCCACCAGAGACCTGTGTGAGACCCTCAGACGCCGGTTGGGACCCCTGAGGCCGGTTAGGGGCCCTCATAGGCCAGATGTGGGGCCTCAGAGGTTGATGTAGGCTCTTAGCGGTCAACGTGGGCGCTTGACCGCCACTGAAGTTCCCTCAGAGGTCAGTGTAGGACGCTCAAAGACCGGTGTGGGAGCTATATTAATAGCTTGGCGTGGATTTTTTTAGCCTCGTGACGATCGAATAATTGCCAGGGCCCCATACACCTATATGGGGGCCCATTGGTTGTTTGAGGGGGGGGGGGTCAAATGATATGATGGCCCCCTTTATTGACCTTTGGGGGCATGGCCCTGATGCCCCCCCGGCCCCCCCGACCGCCACTGTGTACACATTACACACATGCCTCTGAGATTACATACTAGCTCATGCAAACTCTATGCAGGCCCCGAAGGTCCCACGCTAATCCTTAAGAAACCAAGCCGGCATACGGCATCACCACCGGGCTTCTGAGGTGCACAGCACCAACCCTTGAGGTCTTACTTTAGTGTCTTGGAGCCAATCTCCTTTAGCAGGGCCCACCCGCCACTGCCGAAGAGGGTCTCATGCCAGCCATTGCTGAATGCTGGGCCTACGAGAGCCTTAAGTAAACCCACGCTGATATTCCATATAAGATCCGGCCATACTCGTGAACCGGTGCCAGCGACGCTGACCGCCAAAATGACAGAATGCGAAACTGAGCCCACTCATGAGTGAAATTTACGTCCTTTGATGGCGCAAGAAAGAAAATGAAACATACGAAAAGCTTTTCTAGGACTTTTGTTCGATCTGAAAGGTGGGGCCAAAAGATAGTATGGCCCCACCTTTCAGCACCAAAGGGGGGGCCATGGCCCCCGTGGCCCCCCCCCCTGCGACCGCCAGTGCCCGCCGCCGGCCGAACTTTTTGGCGCGTTGTAGGTTAGGTTGTAGGTTTGTAGGTTGTAGGTTTGTAGGTTGTAGGTCTGTAGGTTAGGTTGTAGGTTAGGTTGTAGGTTGTAGGTTAGGTCAGGTGAGGTTAGGTTATGTTTGTTTTTGTTTGGTTTGTTTACCAAGAAGCATCTTCGGGTATAGCGCCTTCCTTTGGTTGGAAAAAAGAAACACGCTTGCCGCGGGCTGCAAAATGTCGCGACCCTGGGGGGTGACGAGCACACGCCGTTACTGAGGCGATGAGCGAGCCGCTTTGAACGCGTCTTAGAACCATCTACTAGTGTCGCCCAAAGGTCAGAGGTCACAGCCGACAGGTGGTGGGATGTCCCATTGTCCCAAGGCCGTTTGAGGGGGGAAGGGGTACACGCGCTGGGTGGATCTTAGAGCTCGAGGGTCACTGACGAGTTCATGAAGATGGCAAGCAGAAGGCACGATGGGAATAAGGCGATGAAGAGTTGCAACTGATCGCATCCCTGAAGATTGTAGAAAAAGATGACATTTCTTACAACTTTGAACTTTTCCGCAAACTTCCAGCTAAACGCCGCTTGCAATTCGCGGCAGAATCACGATGACAGCGCGTGGTTTATGCAGTAGAAGATTCTGACGGACTTCACCAGCTCGCAGCCCAATATGAGGGGCCGTAAATAACTGGTGTAAACAGCTGCCAACGTGATAAGGAGCAGACAAAACACATGGCCCGCGGTAAAAGAGCGGCGAGATTTTCACAAACCAGTGCAGTTACTTAGTCTCGACAATTTGTAACGGGATACAGTTATTCCCCATGAAAAGTCAAATCATATGGCCATGCTATGACCATGCTATGGCTTATGCGAGCATTGCACCATTCAGTGCTACGAGCTACGACATACTCGAAAATTCGGGAAACGTTTCAATTCAAGCGGATCCAATGCTCCCATACGATCAATGCAGCATGAACGGCTCTTGAGGGCAGTGGAGCCGATATATCTCGTTTACCATCCACCCTAACATAATATAATGTTAGGAATTTTAGTATTTTAAGTTATTAGACCACCTTTGAAGAGCAGGACACGCCATACACAGATTTGGTTGTAGTAGGCCAGAAAGCGCCTGGATGAAAATTAAATAAGAGAACAGTAGTTACACGGAGTCCCGTTTCATAACATATAGTACTATTGCCAACCCAACTTTTTGAACAACCTGTTCAGAAAATATCCAGAAAGTTCAGAGAGTTAAACTCAAACATTTCATGTCGGAACTTAACCCGGCAGTTGCTGGGGTATTTCGCCACCCACCGTTTGCTGGGGGGGGGGGGGGCGTTAAACGCCCCCAGCCGATAACTCGAGAACCAATAGGCGCAGCGAAACGCACGAGGCGGCAAACGAAAGAACGCGACGAGACGCTTCAGATGAGTAATTTAAAGTTGAATTTTGAGGTCACAGGTCAGGTCAAGGTCAGGTCAAACACCTGAAATCGGGCTTTCAGTAGCATGGACTTCAGGACTTCGCAAAGGGCGCCTCTCGTCATAAACTCTGTCAAAACGGTGCACAATGCATCATATAAGGCCTACAAGAGTGTCAGCTCCATGTAGGGGTCAGTCAAGCATAGGTCAGGGTCAAGGTCAGGTCAAACGGGTAGGCAAATATCCCCGAAAATCAAAACTGATATTCGCAGCCTGTGACACATGTTTTATGGGTAATTTGGGGCGTAGAACACGATGGTGACATTCATTTTACCACATGTGTACGTGTTTGGCTGAAAAAGTTCAATTTAAGAAATGCATGTATCATGGTCGTGAAGTAGTCACGAGAAATTGCCAAGATTCACTTCAAGATTTTGGAAAATGCGGAACGATAATCAACAATCGAAGATAGCCATTTGATTGTTCATGGTATTGGCAGTCTAATGGCGTTTACGGCATGTCTGTATGTCTATTCTTCGATTTTATATGATTTTTTGAACATATGCCGTTTTTTGTCGAAAACTCAGAAATCATGACGTCACTAAAACCTTGATCTCAAAAAATTTCCGACCGATTTTTTTTTAAACTTGGTCACAATAAGCTTCAATCAATTCCCTACAGGTACCCAAAATTTGGCGCGCCTGCGGCGCGCCGTTTTTATGCTATGGCCCGGCGAAAAAAAGTAG